TTCCTTCTGCAGAGCAGGTGGTGGGTTTGAATTGCCAACAGTCTGGTTGGCAGTCAAATGCCTTAGGCACTGTTCCACCAGAGTCCTTAGTTATCCTATATAGAGCCTTAGTTTCTACTTGCCATTGTATCTTCCTGTGTTAAGTGAGATATGCACTGCTATCTTTTCCTTTTAACTTCTGTGCTATTTCTAGCTGAACACAATGCTATTTGATTAATATTTCAAAATTAGGGCTGCTTAAACATTGTGAAGATAGGTTTTCTCTTCCTGGTGCATTTAGACATCCTTCCCAATACAGATAAATACAGCCCAGAGGCGAAATCTGTGCATAAATTTTAGGACTGAAGCTTGGGTAAAATTTGCTGTCTTCTTAAATATCCAAACACAACTTGAAAATAACTGTTTGTTATCGTCGTTAAGTGCCGTCGAGTTGGACCCGACTCATAGCAGCCCCGCCTTGGGTTTCTGAGGCAGTATCACTATGGAAGTAGATTGGCCCATCTTCCTTCTGAGGAGTGGCTGGTGGGTTTGAACCACCAGCCTTCTGGTTAGCAGTCAAGTGCCTTAGGCACTACACTACCAGAGCTTCTAAAATAACTGTTAAATGTATCTTATTTAAAGGAGTCCTGGTGGAGCAGTGGTTAGCCTCGGCTGCTAACCCAAAAGCTGGCAGTTTGAACCCACCAGCTACTCTGCAGAAGAAAGATTTGACAATCTGCCTCCATAAAAATTATAGCCTTGGAAATCCTATGAGGCAGTTCTACTCTGTCCTACAAGATTGCTGTGAGTCAAAATTGACTCGATGGCAGTGGGTTTTTGGTTTTATATCTTACTGAGTTTAAATACATGACCACTGAAATTATGCTTAAGTTTTAACTTCTAATAATTATCTTTTTAAAAATCACTTCCACTGGATAAAAAATGTATAAAACATCATTCTCTTCATGATATATTTGCACTTGCAGTGAGGTAGCTTTTCCTGTCAAAATTCTCCCTCACCCCAGTATATTTCACTATCTGGTATCCATTTGACCTTGTTCTGTTTTTGTTTTACTTCCCATCACTCACTGATCTAAAATGGATTGTACACTTCTCTAATACCCTTGTCATCTACTCTTTCTCCTCCTCTGTACCTTTAAGGCCCCAGACAGTTCTTCAGAATTTCTCATCAATATGAAAGTGAAAAATCAAGAAGTAGAAGTGCAAAATGCACTATCATGGTTGACAATTTTGGAGCTCAAATTGAGGTCAGTGTGAGGGCAAAATATGGACATCAGCCTTCTTCAATCACAGCAAGTCAAAGAAGATGATGGAGGTAGCAGATGGAGAGAAGTAATCATGTTTTCTGTGTCTATCACCTCTGCTCAGCTTTTCCTGCCGTTTGCTACATTTGGTTGTAGCAGAGATATCTGACCAGGAGTCAGACAGTTCCTCTCTGCTACCTGAAGAAATGCTAAAGTTCCCCTGTTATTTGGATATTTGACAATGCTTTTCTCTCTCTTTTTTTCTTTTTTGATAATACTTTTCATAATTCATTTTTAAATCAGCATGCAATATTTTCTATAATTTAACATGCTATGAAGAATGAACATAAGTTTTCTTTCACTGACATCTAATTTTTGTGGAGTAATAATTTAAATTGAATATTCTTGGTGCCAACTGGTATATGATATAAAAATTAGTTTATAAGAATGGGTATCAACAAAACTAACAGCTCATCTTACACATAATAACTTCAAAATATTTCTCTTGCATGACTTAAATTTTAGAAAGTCCCAGACTGTTTGACACTGGGCTGAATAGATACTACTTATAATTTAATCTTACTTAGCAATAATTTTTAAAAATAGCCCTACCTATGAGATATAAGTCACCTGGTATTAAACATGAGCCCCTTACATTTTACAAAAAGCTTAAACAAATGTAACAATTAAAATTTGATTGCTTTTTAAATAGCAGCTAGTCTTCAGTTTCAGGTACATTGGAAGTTTGCAGCTGCCACTCACTTTTTTTTTTTAATTGTGTTTTGGGTGCAACTTTACAGAGCAAATTTGTTTTACATTCAACAGTTCGTGCACATTTGATTTCATGCCCTGATTACCGTCCCTGACCATAAAAAACTCTCCTCCCCTCCCATCCTTGTGACTACCCCTCCTTCTGCCCTTCTTAACTGTACATTCCTGTCTATTCAGCTTTCCCTTTGTGTGAATGCTGCCTCTTTGGTGCCTCATGGCTGATTGCTTTAAGGGGTCTATCACCCTAAGTAGGTGAGTACATTGCCTTGGGGTAGGTGTTCTGCATGTAGGTTTTTCTACTGTTTGGCTGAGAGCCAATCCATGCGAGTGAATCCACCTCTAGACCCAAAGGGTAACCTGGACCATAGTCTTGGGGGTTCCACCAGACTCTTTCTGACCAGTAATTCTGGTCATTTTTGAGTTATTACTCATTCTTAAGGACTTAGCTATTTGTTGAAGTTGTCTTTGGAGTGGGTTTATTCAGAAATGTAGATTTCCAATGTAGGTTTAAAAGGCAAACTAAACTCAAGTTTTAATCTTAAACATAGCCTAATAATAAGTTACCAAACAGCAATGAGATGTTGTTGGTGTGATAATAACCAGATAATCTTCTTCCTTTATGTCCTGAACTTCCTGCTATTACTTCTGGTTCTTCTGAAGTATTAGACTTCTATAGGTTCCAGATAGTTTGAATAAATTTGTAAGCCTCTAGTGCTTCCTTTTCATGATCTAGGGCTGCTGGAAAGTTCACAGCCTCCTCACCCCCTACCTCAGAAAGGCCTAAGAGCTGCAAGACTCTCCCCAGTATCAAGGGACATTGTGGACACCTGCTCCATCCTCACACTCACCATGCCTAGTGATTGTGCACCAGGGCCATCACTCCTCACAACTAGCCTGGAATCACAATTTTTACATTAAGGATACTAAGCCTGAATTATTTTTTATTAGTTTACATTATGTTGTTAATTTATGATTTGTGATCTTTTTTTTAGTTGGTTATAAGGTAAAAACATTTCTATATTTATGATTTTCTAACTCAAATATCAGTTGATAATCTATCAAAAGATCAATAATTGATTGTTCTCAAATACAAGCAATTTATAGATTTTGATATTTTTTGATTTCAGGTTCTTTACAGCATGATTTGCATACTTTCTTAGGTTGTAAAATCATTTAAATATCTTATTATCCAGTTTCTAAATATTTATCTAAATAAGGGGAAATATATTTTGGTATAATTCTTTCTGTTTCTCAGTTGTACTAATTATCTTACATGTATAAGGAACATTACATTTCTTTAACTTGCAAAAAACAAAGAAGTGTAAAGCATGCGTTTGTTCAAACTTTGTAATAACACTGTGAGGAACCAGAGTTGAGGAGAGGCCTGATTCCTTCTTGAGGCTTCATGGCTGCTAAAAGGAGAATAGAGCCTGAGTCTCCTGATTTGAACCCGCATTGCTTTTTCTCTCTACAGTGCTGCAAACTGAAGTAGAACTTGATAGCTGGCTTTGGATATTTGGGTATATTAAATATGCATATTTTGGACCTTTATCTATAAAATTCTGTCAAATTTCTACTGTACACTCCTTAGTCACAGCTCCCTGACTTTATTTGCTGCCTTACTTTCCTGCATTATTCTCTGAGCAATCAATCAGAATCTAGAATGATTGGTAAAATGTTTAGAGTTGATGTACGTAGTGGGTTTTTTTTTTTTTTTTTTTTTGCCATGGATAGAATTTTAAAGCCCATAACTCAGATAGCTGATACACAGACTTATAGCCCAGTCATATACACTGTGCTATTTAAATACAAAATGATAATTTTGGTCCAGGTTGTGATACTTGAATCGACGTTCCTAAATTTTACTGTCTAAAACAACAAAAATTATTTTTAAAATATTGAGCAAGTATATTATTTGAAATTCCAGTTTCCCTAGTGCTAGTTTTATATTATTGGCATTCATAATCAGGCATCTTTAAGATGATTATGTACCTGTAAGTTTTTATTTTGCTTTCAAACTTACTTTTAAAACAGAACCTGGTAAAAAAACAGATAAAGTAGATCATTTCTTAGGCATGGGTTTTCTCAGAGCAGAAGTTTTCTGGACATTGTCTAATTTCCTGCTCAGTTTCCATATGAAAATATTGTTTCTGTTTTTGCTTATCAGAGATGTCAGTGACAGGAGTCCTCTGCTATGAATACAGAGAGGAAATCCCAAGCAGAAAATCAATAGAAGGGACAAAAGTTGGAAATGAGTACTCAAAGAGAAAAATGAAACTTAACAAGGAATTTCTAGAAGTTTGTTCATGAAGGAAGGCATCCCTAAAGATTTATTTTTAATCAAGCATACATTTTATTTCCAGTGCTGAAGGGTTTTTAGTGATTTGGGCACCTGTCAGTCATGCAGATGGAGGGATAAAAAGACTACATAGAGCTATAGGCTCTGTTTCTGTTCTTTTCCATAGTAATTTTACTCCAGAGTGTTATGTCTCAGCCTGAGCTACCAGTATATTCTTGTTTCACAGCCCTGGCTCAGGAAAGGCCAGCTCTCTTCCACCCACTCTGTCAGAAGCCCTGCCAGTAGGATACATTTTGTTAATTAATCATTCTGGTTGGTTAGAGTTAATTCAGCTCTAGCATCAATCATAAGAATCTCTTTTCTTTCATCTTTTCTATCAGCAGTGCCTAAATGTCTCTTACTTACCCTGGAGATAGTTCTTTTGTCTTCTAATCCTTTCTTCTTATAGCTTATGTGTATCTTAAATTATGACTACTACAGAGCTTTCTACATCTACATAATTAAAGTTTTTACTTGTATAAAGTGAATAATTTACTTGTAAAAGTACAGGCAAGTATGAATGTGTTTAGCATGTGAAAAAGTCATTAAAATTTAAAGAAGGAAGTTTAATATATGATTGTGATGGAAGTGTTAATGTCTGCCTTTTATAATGCATTAAAATAATTAAAAATATTTTCTTTTTAAAGTTGGCCAGGAATTCTCTGCCCTGATCCTTTTAAAGGGAAATATGTGGCCTATGACCTGGATGGAAATGTTGAACGGTATCACATAGAATTCCTGGGTGATCCCCATTCAAGAGCATGGATAAATGCAACATTTGTTGCACATTACAGTATCACATTAAAGGTAGGTGGAGTAACAGAAAAACTTATATTTGTTTTTAATTATTATCATTTTTGTCTTAGATTTCTGAAGGTAAATAATTACTTATTTGTAGAATTTTATAACCAAAATAATGTGTACTATTTGTTTAAATTCAAATATTTGTATTTTCTAAAGCATTTTATTCCAAAGGAAGTATGGATATAAAAATAGCTATGGGAGTTTAAATTGCGTTTTTCCAATGGCAGTATACCATAAATCAACTGAACACTTTACATAATTGCCTTTTGAAGCATTTTTAAGATTATCATTTGGTAAGTTTCTAATTCTCTTGAGAAGACTCTTAAGTTGTAGCCCTAGCTCACAGGGAAAGTTAATTATGGAATGCAACCAGCTTTTCAAATTTCATACAGAATACTTTATTATACTAACTCCTTCAGTAATTTTTTGACTCTTTTTAAACTTTAAATTACACACTACCAATAATGAATGGACTGGGTTCTCAGGTTGATGAGAATAGGGATACTGGACATATTACCAAGGGTTTGGCTTAGTCAGTGTAAATCAGTTCAATTATCTGTTCTATATTATTATATTGAACCTTTTTATCTACTTTTTGTTTTCATTAGAAACCTGGTGAGAAATATATTTTAAAAATGTAGATACCTTTGATTCACTCTGAGTGGTTTCTATTTTATAGTGAGAAATATACATAGTTATACATAGAAGTGTATGTACATACAAAGCATATAATTTCATTCACAGTATAATTGAATCTGTGGAAATTTGAGATGCTTTAAAGTGGTTTTTTTTTACCTTACCTCTGGCATAAATAATATATTTGTTTCATTTAACTTGCAAGCAGTTGGAAGGGAAGGCTGTTTTAGTAAAAATATTTAAGTATGGAATAGCACCTCATACATCCATTTCAGGGTAGTTGTGAGCCAGCCAATCATCTTAATGTGAAACATTCTCTCCGCTCTAACATTTTGGATGTGATCCCAGACACTTCTGCTGGCAATCATAGCAGAGAGGAAGCAGTGCTCTCCCACTTGTGTTCCCCCCACCCCAAACCCTTTCCTAAAGGAAGGGAAGCCTTCCAGCAACTCATGAAGCAAACCTTAGAATCTCAGACATTTGGCTGTGTGGTAAAGCACAAGCAACACTAAGAAATTAGATTTAAATATAAGTACAAAAATAAAAGTTTACTTTAAAATTACCTGAACTAATATTACTGTCAGGATTTGATTTCTGTCAGGCTTATCTTGAGTAGCCTGATTCTAGTGAGCATTCAGTTAATAATTGGGACATGGAAAAAAGTTGGTGCAGAATGAATGCAAACTCTGGAATCAGGAGCCACATGTTTTAACCTTCTGAAAACATTAAAGTAAACTTAGCACATGTTGCACAGTCAAAGATGAGGAATTAGGGTCACTTAAGCAAGGATGAGCTCTGGTGGCATAGTGCCTGAGGCATTTGACTGTTAATCAGAAGGCTGGCAGTTCAAACCCACCAGCTACTCCGTGGAAGGAAGACTGGGCCATCTACTTCCGTAAAGATTTACCACCTAGGAAACCCAAAGGGGTTCTCTATGAGTCGGAATTGACTCGATGGCAGTGAGTTTGTCAGTTTTTTTTAAAGCAAGGATGGAAAAATAAGTATTTGCTCCTACTCCTCACCACACAACTGGCCAGGTGCTCTGGGTAGATAACCCCTCAGTGCCTATAGGCTGTTCTCTTATACTGTCCTTCAGGGCACCTACCTACAGACTCTGGACTCCTCTGCCCCTCACTCTCTGCTTTATAGCTGTGTCTTTTTCTTTACTTGGTTCTTTGGAGCTGACAAAATAATTGTGCGGGCTTCTCTGGCTCTCTACGTCAGAACTGAAGCTTCATTTCTCTTTTACCTCAGATTCAGCTGGCACATGCCAGAGTATTCCACTATCCTGCTGTGCTCTGACTCCCCACTTCTGGCTCTCTGAGGATCTCCACTTGCCAAGAAGTGGAGACTCACAGGTGCTTGAAGCCTGATTGCCCCAATCTAGTCAAGAAACATACACCAAGGAGATAGGCTAAGGAAATGCTATGACCAAAGTAGAAAAATGGTCAAAAATGATACATACAAGAGATTGGTTAAAATAAACAGTTCTATGTGTTACCCAGGGATAGCTGAGATTTACCCTCCCCTTGGAAACTGCTATGGACTATGTCCCCCTCTTCCCCAAAATTATGTTGAACTCATATTCCCTGTACCTATAAATATAAGCCTGTTTATAAATAGTAGTTGTCTTCTATGATGTTAATAGTAGGATGTGTCCTAACATGAATCCTTCTTAGTGGTGTCTTATAAAAGGAACAGAATAGACACAGATACATACACTGGTAGAATATGATATGTGGAAATGGAAGAAAGTGCATCTTTAAGCTGGGAACACTAAAGATTGCTGGCAACTGATAGAAACAAAGAAAGACCTTACCCTAGAGCTAACACCGTGAATGTGGACATCTAGCCTCCTCACGTGTGAGACAATAAATTTTTTTTGTAAAGCCATCTACTTCTGGTATTTTTTGTTACATCTCAAACTCTCACTGCCATGGAGTCGGATCTGACTCACAGTGACCCCTCCTTCGGATTTGGAGGCAGTATCTCAACGGAAGTAGATTGCCCAATCTTCCTTCCCAGGAGTGGCTCGTGGGTTTGAACTGCCAGCCTTCTGGTTAGCAGTCAAATGCCTTAGGCACTATACCACCAGAATAGTCCATAAGGCATTTGACCACTAACCAGAAGCTAGGTAAATTACAATAGAGATGAAGAGAGTATTGACTCCACCTATAGTTCTATTAGGGGGAGCTCTGGTAGCATAGTGGCTAAGACACTTGCCTGCTAACCAGACGGCTGGCGGTTCAAACCCACCAGCCACTCCTCGGAAGGAAGGTTGGGCAATCCTACTTCAGTAGTGATACTGCCTCGGAAACCCAAGGAGGGGTCGCTATGAGTCGGGGCCGACTCGACGGCACATAACAACAACACCAATAGTTCTATTACTTAGACTTCCCAGAGTTTTAGATTGTGAAAATTTTTTTTCTCTTTCAGTTTGATTATATGTGTCTAGCTTTTGTTGACTAGTCAGTTCATCTTGGTTGACATATGTGGGATTATTGACTTACTAATTTTATTGTTGAAAGCACAACAGTTCTCTTGTCACTATCTACCACACAGATGATACAGTTTTCCCTAATAAACAGAACTACTTATTGGTACACTTCAATATAGTTTAGGAAAAAGTTGAAGGCACTCTTTGGATTGTAAATTTGTAATGTATATTGGTTTATTTATACATTTCATTTTTTTTTCATTTACTATATCAGCAGTAGCTTTAAAGATAGCTGACCTTCCCCATTTTTTAAAGAAACCTTGATTTTTTAGAAGTATGTATTCAAATACAAGGAGCTCTGGTGGCATAGTAGGTAAGGCATTTGGCTGCTAACCAGAAGTCAACAGTTCAAACCCACCAGCTGCTTCATGGGAAGATGAGGCAATGTACTTGCATAAAGATTTACAGCCTTGGAAACCAAATGCCAGTCACTATGAGTCACAATCAACTCTATAGCAGTAGGTTTGGGTTTTTTTTTTGGGGGGGGGGTATTCAAATACAGATTACTCTGCTAATTATGCAGAGAAGAGGGATGTGATTATGTGCTAGATGGATATTATTTTTAAGAGCTGATGCATGGCATACAATTCTTTTACTCTTAGTACAAATGTTGTTTCTCTTATATTTAGTCAGTATATGTCTGTAGAATCCATTATTTACAAGTTTATTTTCTAGCTTGATAGAGTACGTGTTCAAATCCACCAGCCACTCCTCGAAAGAAAGGTTGAGCAATCTACTTCCGTAGTGACACTGCCTCAGAAACCTAAGGAGGGGTTGCTATGAGTCAGATCCAACGCCACGGCGGTGAGTTTTGTTTTGTTTTTTAGACTACATGTTTTAGTTCAGTGATTCTCAAGCATGACTCTGCATTAATAAACCCACAAAACAAAACAAACAAAGCCTAGGTCTCACACTACTTCATCAATTGAATTGAAATCTCTTAGAGGGCTGGCCATCAGCATTATTAAGTTCCTTAGTTGAAACTAATATGTATCCCAGGGATAAGAATCATTGATCAAGTTTTTCTCAGTTCAAGACATCAGAGTTTTGTTGGTTATATCCCTACCAGTGTCATAACCTAACTTTCATTATGGCTTACTGTATTTCTGTAGCTTTTATTCTGTCATTTTGTTTGCCTAGAAATTATGCTTACTGTCATAGGATCATATGTCTCACCATAGTAATTCATTAATCACACATAGCCTTGAGGTCAACAAAAATCTTGTCCTTTTTTAACATTATATGTAATTTGTAGATATTGTTGATAGGATGGATCCAGAACTTGAACTTGGTATTTACAGCATTTTTAAGTTAGTCATCTGTCTTGTCATTGTATAAAGTCATGATATATCTTAGACATAGTTTATTGCCACTAACACTACCTAGCCAGTATATTTCAAGCAGTGATTTCTTGTCCTACCCTATTCTAGTCCCTATAGTGCCCAGGAAAAGTAGGTGGTTCACCTCTAATGCTATAATCTTCTATAGTAAAACTGAGATTTTCTTGTCCATGATGTGAATGAATATTTTGGCTATAAATTTTTGCTGTCTGTTTACCGCTGTATATATGCTTTGCCAGTAGATATGCAACGTTTCTTTGGTACCAAATGTCATTTGGGTATTTACCCATTGTCTTATGGAATTATGTTTTCCAGGAAGGTAAAAGGAGAATAATGCCATATTTCCTAAACTTGAGTTCTGTGACCCATAATTGTGGCAGTCATTAATAGTATTTGTCAAAGTTTTCAGTGTTTCTGCTTTGCTGGTACAAAAGAAAATTTCATATCTGTCACCCCAACAGGTACAGTGAGTTGTCTAGTGAGTTGTGAGTAGAATTGACGAGTCTCACCTCTTTGCCTGAGTACTTAAC